GAGATTGCCGAACCAAACTGACACTTTAGCTCATATTCATATTATGGAAAATGGCCGTCAGAAGGCCATTCGGTTCCATTACGGACGCTAAATGATACGCAAATAGCTTGGAGACTATTCGGGAATAGTATAGGTCCAAGTTTGTGAGTATCCTTCAATAAACACATTTAGACTGTCAAAGCGTTAGCGGTGATTCTGTTCGTGAACGTTAATTAGTGAATATTGGTATTGGAACTACCGTCTGCATCTTCCAAGCGGATGGGAAGATTACGTGGTCTGGACCAGAGTTTCTGGCATTGATCGCTCCGTTAATTGATTGAAGACTTGTGGATTTAGCGTAGGTACGTAACGCTTTGATAATTGAAAATCGAATGGAAGCTATTGTCACCCGTAATATTTATTATTTTTAACTCATTCCACCACTAATGGGCATAGTTTGATGATAAAAACACTATTTTAATATAATAATTATAAACCCATAACTCCAGTGTCCACGAAATTTCATCAATGATTTATCGATAAACAACTTCTCATTGGGTCTATATTATTACGACGTGAATTCATTTTTCAAATAATTTACTATTGGACGAATTTTTAACTAATTTTTTAACTCTTTTATTTAACAGTGGATTGTCTGCAAACTGCAAATTTCATAGAACATACCCGCCTTTCGCCGGCTTGGTGTGTTATGGATTAAAGTAGTTAAAAGAAATTGTTTGGAGCACGTATCGAAGAGCTTCCTATTTGCGTATCTGGGTTACTAGACAAGTTTTTAATTAAAAAAAAAAAACTCCTATCTAATTTTAACGAATGGAAAAAAATCACTTGTACTACTTACACGTGGCACCTGTTTTTGAATAAACATTACCATGTTTTATTGTTTATTATTCAATTTAAAATGCTCCCCTCCTACAAAAACCCAAGGGGAGGTTCACGAACGCGTAACGCACGTCGCATGTAATAATATACGCTATCGATTTGCACGGCTGACCGATACTTTAATCCCCCGAATAATCCCATCCACGAAAACATATTGCTTACATCTGCGACAAGTAAATATTCGAGGGTGGTGCATTCTAGTATAATGCTTGTTTGAAAAGTAAACTATGTACTTATTCGAGGAATTATTCGAGATGATACCGTCATCTCGCTTTTGCCATCGCACCGCCCGCCATCGAAGTAGAGTTCATACTACCTGGAGCTCCTGCGGTCATCCACAGTGTGTTTCTAGAGGTCTTTTTAGCCACGTACTACCCGGCTATGGAATGAGCTCCCCTCCACGGTGTTTTCCGAGCGCAATGACATGTCCTTCTTCAAACGAAGCTTGTGGAGCGTATTAAGCGGTAGGCAGCGGCTTGTCTCTGCCCCTGGCATTGCTGAAGTCCATGGGCGACGGTAACCACTCACCATCAGGTGGGCCGTGTGCTCATCTATACAAGGGCAATATAACAAACAAAAAACTTATCTAGAAGATCTTTGTTTTTGACGTACTTCAGGAGACGACACACGTGTAAAGGGGCGGTGAACCGGAGCCCATAGTTACGAGTAATTGAGATTTGAGGTTGTCGTCTCGGATATATTGTATAACGGTTGTCATACAACTACGTCAAAAATATGAAAGCAGGATTATGGTATTATACTTACTTATTGTTACGCGTATACTAACGTTTCGAATACTTTTTCTTTTTTACTTTTTATTTCTTAGACGGGTGGACAAGCTCACAGCCCACCTCGTGTTAAGTGGTTATTGGAGCCCATAGACATCTACGACGTAAACGCCCCACCCACCTTGAGATATAAGTTCTAAGGTCTCAAGTATAGTTACTTGGTCTTTAATCATTCGTGAACACGAAATTTTCAAAACTGCTTTATTAATTTTTATGACACAATTCTTATGTGTTCAATTATTTTTCAATGAAATCGTTGAAGTCTCATATCCGTTCATTTTTCTGTGGAATTTCATGAGGGGTATTGTGGCGTCGCTCGACACCTCGAGCGAACCGGTCATTTTATTTTCTAGGCCAAGGAAAACTCAGCCAGCAATGACGTGCCCGCACACATAACAATATTACACTCACTACATTCAGGTTAGGTACATTCAGATAATATCTGTTATACTTAAAATTGCGGCTTTCAAATTTTCTGTGAACATGCTGTAGTTTTTTTTTTAATTATCAAATAAAATACTGGAACGTCAGGTGTTGAAAAATTTTAAGATGCTAATCCCGTCGCTGAGAAGACGGAAATGTTTGCTACAGTATAAGAAGACGCCTTTAGCTCTAACACTAGGAGCAGCTCTAACACTAGAAGCAGACTTAGGGAACCCGGTAACCGTACTCGTCGAACTCGACAAAGAGTTCGACGTGAAACCAAACCCGTGCATTAGCTCGCTGGGTTTCTCGTCGGATCTTCTCAGTGGGTCACGATTCCGATCCGGTCGTAGATTCATTCGTAAAGCAGCTGCTCTTGAGTTGTTAGGTCTCCTTCGGAGGCGCTCGGGCAGCTGTTAGCAAATCCCACCCCTCTTGGCTGAGCATTTGCTCGCCCACCTGTAATGGTGAAACTGGAAAGGCCTCCGGGCCAATCCTTCAATCCTAAAAAAAAACCAGTATAGGTCGTATTAAAATATACATGATTTACAGATAGTACTTTAATAAAAGTAATACTATTACACTTGATTCCCGCGAATAATTACTTCTCATTTTATTAAACTGAATATAAGAATAAGAATGACTATGGATAAGGTTATTGTGTTTACCGTTAACGTGTTATTTAAGCCACGTGCGTTTTTTGGCAAGTTTGACATAAGGACGCACTGAAATCTATATATTAATACGTGAAGCAAAAACTTTGTATCCATTTTTACGAAAATTGCGCGGACGGAGGAGTACGAAATTTTCCACACTTATAGAGAATATAGAAAAGAAGTGCACAATGCTAATATATTTTTTAAATAATGCATAACAGATACATTAAATCAATAAAGAAAACATTACACACACTATGTATTTGACACACACACGCATGCATACTATTTATTGTCAAACTTTTGTTCTTGACGTCTGTGGTCAAATTGAGAATAGATTAAATATTGTTTGTCTTTATTAATATTTTTTTTATAGAGTAGCCTTGGCGAAATATGTAATTATAGAAGTATAAAATACAATCATAATAGTGTACAAACTTACAATTCCAATTAATTATAGTCGAATTTCGACTACTGTGGGACCTCTAGTAAAGTTAATTTGCCATCGGTATGACTGGCGAAAATCGCTGTCTCGCAAGAAGGCCGCACTTTATACACATACAAAATATTTTACGCTCGTATTACATGACAAGTAAACACAATTTTGTCGCTTTACTTCAATCAATGAGTAGTATCACCCCTCTGCGCACTTCCGCGACGAAGCTTTAATGTTTTATTTCGCAATAAAACCGACGAGTGCAGCTGCGATGCATTTGGCACGCTAGTATCAGATAAACATATTTGTATTCATCCCTCGCATGTGATGCAAAGATCTATCTTACATTAATCTAAAAAAAAAACTCGCGATTTAAAACTAAATATCTAAAATGAACACATAATGTACATAAATAGAGTATCTTAATTTTATCTCAATCACCTAATAAGTTCTTAAAGTGGCCGTGTCACAGTATTGGCCATTTAAAACATATTTTGTGTATGACTGGCAATAAATTCTAAATTCGAATGAATATTATTTTTAAAATATGGATTTATAATTTCAAATTTCGTCATTTTATTAATAAGTGTTTTGTTTTCACTGCATACCTGGCTCCCAGCTCACCTGGTGTTAAGTGGTTACTGGAGCCCATAGACATCTACAACGTAAATGCACCACCCATCTTGAGATATAAGTTCTAAGGTATCAGTATAGTTACAACGGCTGTCCCACCCTTCAAACCGAAACGCATTAATTACTGTATCACGGCAGAAATAGGTAGCGCGATGGTACCTACCCATGCGGACTCACAAGAGGTCCTACCACCAGTAACTATAGAACATTATCGTGAAACTATAGAAAAACGAATAAAATGTTACAGTTTCATCATTTTGGTATTTAAAAATCAAAATTTTAATATCAATATCTCTAGAAATAAAATATAAATCATAAAAAAAACAAAAAAATTATTAAATAAAAGAAACACTAAAAGTAGAAACAAATTTGTCCATTCTTATGGCATTTTTTTTCCTACCTAGCTATAATCCAAGTGGGTACATCACTGAGACGGCTCATCGTAAAACTCATACCAAATCCTTATGCAGCATGATAAAAGGACTTTCTGTGCCAACCCCACGTTATGTAGTATAAGAGCAAGAAGAATAAGGAGTTTGTATCTAAGGTTCAAGTCGCTTTACTGATAGGCGATCTTAGGAAATGCCCAAGACGTACATAAAGTCTTTAATGTTAAAAAAAACAGGAAAACTACTTTAATTCTCAATCTTGTATTTGTTTTTTTTTTAATTTAACCAACATAAACAAGAATCCTTTAGCAGCATATCTCACGACCAGTTTGGCCACTAAATTTCTATTTGTGTTGACAATGTAATCAGTGCGGGAAACCTACCGCAAAACCCACGCATTAAACATACATTTCGGACTAATTTCACCCTCACTAAATTCCAAAACGTCTTCATATTCCTCTGCGCCGAGCCTCAAAGTAAACACGGCTAAATTTACCTCCAAGACTCAAAGCTTGCCGTTTTAATCGACGACTAATTACATAAACAACCTAGGCAGAGACTAGGCATAAATTGGATTGGTCTTCCCAAGCGTAGAGTTAAATAAATTCTGTCGTGTTGCATCATAGGTGACCGCAGGGTCATTAATGCATGTTAACCAAACTATTCGAAGGTTTGTACATTTTCAATTAAAATTATATTATTTAAAGTGTGACTAAAACCTAATTCGGATTGAAAATTTTAAAAGAATAATCAATTTATACCAGTAACATATATTGTAGTGATAACTAAACGTATCCTAGTAACTAGGGAAGATTTGTCCAATGCTTTTGTTGTATCTTTTAATCTGAGCGTCTAAAATTATATATTTTAGTCGCAAAAGGTAAACCTGTAGACAATTTTTTATTTTAAAATTAATACTTATAACATGAATACAGTGTGGTATAAAATGTCGATAATATAAATAAAATCAATTCAAACCCTTAAAATATGTTTGCTATTGAATGTAAATGAAATACGATATTATTTATTTTACTTTCTACATATTATACATACAAAATATTAAAGAGAACGACGTTAGGACAGTATCCGAAGGGCCGGAAATACGGATCCCGATTCTGGCGGATGTTATAACAACTAAAATGCTTGTCACATTCGACGTTTTCATTATTAATCGTCTTTAGTTTTTCAGGCTTAGTACTAATAATTAATACGTGAAGCAAAAACTTTGTATCCATTTTTACGAAAATTGCGGGGACGGAGGAGTATGAAATTTTCCACACTTATAGAGAGTATAGAAAAGAAGTGCACAATGCTAATATTATTTTAAAATAATGCATAAAAGATACATTAAATCAATAAAGAAAACATTACACACACTACCATGTACTTGACGCACACACGCATGCATACTATTTATTTATTGTCAAACTTTTGTTCTTGACGTCTGTTGTCAAATTGAGAATAGATTAAATATTGTTTGTCTTTATTAATTTTTTTTCTATAGTGTAGTCTAGACCATAAATCACAAATTTCGTCAATAATCGTAATAATCTTTGAAATAATCTTTGAAAATAGAATCATAATAGTGTACAAGCTTACAATTTCAATTAAATATAGTCGAATTTCGACTACTGCAGGACCACTAGTAACAACTAAAATGCTTGTCACATTCGACGTTTTCATTGTTAATCGTCTTTTGTTTTTCAGGCTTAGTACTAATAATTATGCATAGCTTCATGTGTGAGTAATTGTCACAATAACAGAATGTGTGTTACAGCCGCTCTGGGCACGACATGGGCTCGCACGGGAAATCATCGGCGTTCGAACTCTTGCTCCAGCAATGATAATAGCTAACACGCTCTCCCACTCCATTGTAAACGACAATTTTGTTTATATTTAGAGTAAACTGTGTCTTTATCTTTTATTTAAATGAAATGAGGGCATGGATGATTGCATTCATGGATCAACGGTAATGTGCTTGTCTCTCTACTACGAAATCGGAGGTTCGATGTTAATTCATACATTTAAAATTAAATGAATGTGTTGAAAAAGCAGAAAATTATAATTCACTACAGTCAGCTTGAGTCTGTTTCATTTATAGAATAAGCTGTCCATTAAATCTTTGTAAATGGGTTTCAAGGTGGGTGGCGCATTTACATTGTAGATGTCTATGGGCTCCAGTAACCACTTAACACCAGGTGGGCTGTGAGATCGTCCAACCATCTAAGCAAGAAAAAAAATTTATAATAAATTAAAAAGTTTTCTCGCCTCTAACTAACATCGTATTTAACAAAAATCTTCATGTCAGTAATAACAGGACTTCAGATTGTATGATTTCATTAATTAATAGAAGGTTAATTTACAAAATTATTTTTTAAAAACTTCAAGATAAAACGATATACAAGAGACGGCGCCTTTTCAGACCAGAGAAAATCGATATGACAAAAATTTTCTATTTTTATTATTTGATGATGACTGATATTAGGTAATATGTTTATTAGATTGAAAACGTCCGACGGAGTTGATAGCCAGTCATCTAAAGATGTAATAATAACTACCGGTGTTGTCACATTCCTCAAATTGTATAAAGGCGGCGTGATAGTTCCATAGTTTTTTAAATTCGACTGTGGTCCATGATCGTACATCTGAAAGCGGGCACTTTTTATTAATTGGATGTAATGAAGTATTGTTTTGGTAGAACCACCCGCCGGTACGTGGTTTAAGACGAGCTCTTTAATGTTTTCGTCGGAAAATTCTTGGCCACCGTTAGTGAGGAAAAGTAGTGGATTTTCACATAATTCCGCATCGCCCGGACAAAATCTGTCGACTAACTCTCGGGATAGTCTTTTGAATGGTGCTATCTCGTATGGATCAAGTATATCAATCAGTTCATCTTCGTTATTTGTCAAGCCTGCGAACTGTTTAAGCGGACCCTTTACCTGTCTCATGAAAACTAGTGGTGCAATTAGAATCACTGATTTGAGAATTTCATTGTAAATTGAATCCGTTGATAATAACGCTAGAGCACTAGTAGCGCCCATTGAATATCCGATCAAACAAATTTCAACTTTATCCCTTATTTGTAAAACGTAATTTATCAAAGCTGACAAGTCGTATAAACCGATTTCGTGAAACGAAAAATCCCAAAAGTCAGGAGCATCTGCCGGCTTAGCGGAGTGCATCTTCGAATACTTATTTCCCCTAGCGTTTGCGAGCCAAACGTCATATCCGGCTTCCGACAGCATGTACGGAAGAGATCTTGACTTTCCTAAAAGGATGAAATCATCTGAACTTCCGAGCATACCGTGATGTAATATCACAACTTTACTTTCCGTTTGTATATGTCCCGTTAGACTCAGTCTGTGTACCGTGAGCAAATATCCATCTGACGTCATAAGAGTATGCAACTCAACTTTGTATCCATGAAAAGCTATTAGTTGTGGTCCTTGCATATTATTTTCAGTATCATGTTGGGTCTCAGAAAACAACACAGTTTTATTTTTTGATTCTGTTTCAGCTTGCAACAGTTTCGTTACGAAATTAATTAAAGATTTTTTTATGGATTTTTTCTTTTTCTCGATTACTTCTTTGGTATTTTGCCAGAGATTCTGAAATTTCTTTTTAATTGCGCTCATGGTTTTCACGAAGAAACCTTTTATAGTATTGCTCATGTTTTGTACGACTTCCATCGTTTGATTACTGAACTGTTCACTCACTTCGATATTTAATATGACAATCAGTATAAACATATAATAAATTTCACACATTATTGCTACTTTACATACATTGAATGTTATTACAGCACATGTTGGCTATAGTTGCAACAAATCTTTAATAGTGCTATTTATTAATCTTGCTTTATTTATATGCTTGGGAACAATTGCCTTTTGTTCTGCATCGTCGTTAAATAATAGTAAGTCATTGATAATTGAAAAACACGTGCGTTTTATTTGATCATAATATAATATTTAGCAATGTATTGTAAACATTACATTGTTGCATTAGTATTAATTAACAATATTGGGGCTCGAATATTCTTTTATGAAAAAAAACATTTTTTTGGGATAATATCGATTCTCTTATTTAGATGCTGTAAGCCATAATCTGCTCAATTTATAGTAAAGGAATCGTACTTTTTGTATATGCATACATTTAGAATAAATCCTAGCTGGCCCATTTTTCAATGGTTGGTAAGGCCCGTCAAATTCTCATTAACGTGTGAAGCCTCTCAATAGAAATGAAAATTTCAAAACGAACACAAACTTTGTTGTTACAGATATTAATTGAACGATCCAGAGTCGATTTAATAAAAATGTGTATTTCTATAATCAGCAAATAAAGAACTGTGTTCTGGAACTGTTCAGTACTACTCCAATTTGCAGACAGACAGAACAACGTATTTGAGAATACAGAGTGTTTTGAAATCACTCCCAAAATCCTTTGAATCAATTCAAGGTGCTAGTTCGGGTTATAAAAAAAAAGAGCGTTCAAAACAAAACTACAAATGAAGTTTTTTTTCTCTACCTAAGCTGATAGCCTTGAGAGGCTATTTCAGCGTAGCAAGTGAAGTGACGCAGCATGCATTTAGTAACTGCAGTAGCCTTACATTTATGCTGCTGAACTTATTTGTGCTTGGCTTAGAAGATGAATATGAATTTCCGTGTACATTGGAGAAGTTGTTTATGCACAGATTAACCTTAGTAACGTTGTCTTCGCGATCTTGCCCCGTAGATTTTAATTCACTATTTTGCAATTCAAAAATAAATCTAATTGTCCAAGTAAAAGTTTCCTCGGCAAAAATTCTAAAACAGTTTTGTGTATTCTATTTGCATTTGAATACTTATTCGGAGAGGAGAATTAAAATAAAGGATTCCCAGTTAAACAACGTGGCCTGACTAATATTGTCCTGGAAATAAATGCAAATCTGTTTTTCGAATTATTTGTTGAGAGTTTTTATCGTTTGTTTTCGTCTGTGCCTTTTTAATTACATTGACTGTTTGTGTTGTTTTCAGTTTATCATGCCCGTAAAACAAAGTTGTTTGTGAAATTTTCTTTGTAAATCTATCGCAGTCCGGAGAACTATCCATTTAAGTCTTTCTACGGAATGTTATTTATTGATGAAACTGTTAATGTTATTGCTGAATGCATTTGTATTTTTAACTGTCTCTATATTTTAAAAATTTTAATCAGGCGTTAATAAAATGATTTTTCTACCTCTTGTCTCAAACTGGATGGTGAATTTCACGTTGTAATGTCTGTGACATTTTATATTAAATCGCAAGTCGTGTGATATCGCAAGGTGAATACCGCCATTCATTTTGACGCTAATGATTTTAGTTTCAAATGTGTTCTAGAATGGCTCTCTGTAGACCACAATTAATTGTAACTTATGATTTTTGAATAGCTTATTTATTGATTTAAATATGAATTTTATTTACTTTAGAAAAAAACTATTTTAGCATGTACTGCGTTCATAGACAAGAATCCCACTTTTCGGAATTCTTAGTATTGATAAGAAGCGAGTATAACCCGATGTCCATACTTTACTTTACGACACTTTCCAGAGAATACGGATTTATATCTGGCTAAAAAAATGGCTGATACAATCTATACAGCGAGTCCCGTGATTACTTTGCGACAGAAATAGGCTGATACTGGTCACCGTTATATTTGGATGAAAATTATCTGTCAAATACTTTCCAGAGAATACAGATTTATATCTGGCTAAAAAGAAATGGCTGATACAACCTTTACAACGAGTCCCGTGATTACTTTACGACAGAAATAGGCTGATACCGGTCACCGCTGTAGGTGGATGATTATAATCTGTTACTGAGACTAATAACACGATTATCAAAAAAAACAACACAGACAACGGGGCAACGAAAAACAGCCGTCGTCCTAAGAACATCTTATCGGATCCTCCAGTTCCACTATCGATGCTTTTAGGAGGCATCGGTGATCGTTCTCTTCAAATTTTTCGATTACAATGAAGAATTCAACGTGTGAAGTAGTCCATACAGTCCATAGACACACCCCACTGAGTTTCTCATCGGATTTTCTCAGTGAGACGCGATTTCGGTCCAGTGGTCGATTGCTTGTTAGGTCTAATGCAGTTACTAGACGAGCTCAAGCCCACCACCTGATTTATAGTGGTTACTGGAGCCCATAGAGATCGACCACGTAAACACCACCACCCACGTTGAAGCATGAGTTCTAAGTCTTAATTTTAAAGTACAACGGTTGCCCCATCCTTCAAACTAAAAGGCATTGCTGTTTACGGTAGAAATAGATAGGGCCGTGGTACAACCTCTGCGCCTCCACAACACGCCCTACCGGTTAGCAAGCTCTTTTAGGCTGAGCCCCTTGTGCTCATCTACCCGTCCGCGTCTAGTTGGAATAGCTCCTTAGGGTACCTACAATAAGGCAGGGGAAAAATCTAAATTTAGCCCGCTTTTTCAACTACCGTATCCTACAACTACGAAATTTCAATTAACATTGTGAAGTGTTCGTGCCCCGTTTTCCGCTGAGAAGCCATTAAGGAACCCTACGGTTGCGAGGACGAGAGGACGAGGCCATGGATAACATCAGGCGAGTCAGGACTTTTTTATTCTTTGATTTAGTCTGTGTTTTCCCATATTCATTCCGCCTAAATATATCCACCGCCTGCGCGTCTCATCGCAAAGTCTTGAAGCATTTTCCTGTCATACGTGTCACGCTACGCCATACCAATGCTTCCTATAAAATTGTTGTTCATGCAAGCTTTCGTGACCTCGGTATAAAACTATTTCTAACATGGCCTTAAAAGATTCCAAAAAAGCACTATTCTGCACACAATTGTAATCATACTTTGTAATTTAATCAATATCTTCAAAATAAACACAAAAAAAATATGAAGATAATTTTATATTTATGAATACCGCACCATATTATAAAATTCGCCTAAATTACGATTGCAAATTTAGTTATTTTGTCTTCATTAGCAAAATTATAATCTTCTGAATTTGTAATATACGGACTTGGTTTTCAAAATTAGGACTGCTGAAGAACTTTAATTCAAACTTCGATATCTTCAACTCGAAGGGTCTCTGATAATTAATAATATCTCTAATTTAATACTTTTACTATTAAAACATAACTACAATTCCTCAAACACTAATACATAGGCACACATGTTTTTGTACATATTTAAGTAAAGTTGGTAATTTTCTTATGTCAATAAAACTGGAATTATAAAATCTCAAAATATTTCTATTCTATAGTTATATTATAAACAAGATGTTTTATTTATTTATTATGATTTAATTATCAGTAAATAAGAGGTAGTTATAATAATATAAATTACTTGACAATATTACATTTATAATACATACATAATTGGTGCATATTTGTATACTTTTGACATGGATTTGAGTCTTCCACTTTTCACAATACTATTTATTAATTAATCACAAGAACTATTACGTGTCGATTTTATTACATTTTCAGTAAATACTCTTAAAGAACTAAGCGTATATTTAGATTATAGTTTAATATAAAATCGTTACGGTATCATAAATATACTACCCGTTGTAATTGCGTAAATGACTGAACACGGGCCACTTGCTGTAGTTACTTGAGTCCATAGACAGTTGCGGTGAATGCTGTGATCGACTTGTAAGACTTATGTAGAAGTATCAGCTGCATAACGACTGACCCACCCCTCAAGACCGTGCTTTTAATCATTACACACACAAACACGTAATAAAACATACTTATGTGGCTTAATCTCTCTTAAAAAGAAAACGTCGTAAATAATATAATGACACTAAAACATTTGAAATTAAAGCGCAAAAGTGGTTTTCATGTCTACGACAGGCGAAAACCCAAAAAACAGAACAATGCAAACACTTATGTATATCGATTGCGTAAAAAAAATCCTCAATAATCTGATTTCATCATAAATAGCTTAGTACTAGTTATAGTGTAGTAATAGTTAATAGTTTCATTAGCATCATCATTATTTTCACAATAAGTTATAATACGACGTCACAATTCAGATCACATACTATTTTCTTGTTGCACCCTCCATTTCACAATTTTTTTCAGGAACTGAAAACATAAAATGCTTATACGAGTATTATGAGTAAGCCGACAGTGTGTGTTATTATCATATTATGTACTATTTTGAATTAAGTGGCCATACTTTTTCGAGAAAAACTTGACCTTGCTAAAAAACATAACTAATTTGAAATTAAAAAAAGATATAGTGTTTGGATATACAATAATAATTGAAGTTTACAAATATTCTCCTGCAAGATCTTGTTGCTCGTAAAAAGTAATGGTGCTATTCCGAATCGAACATTCTGTAGTCAGGTAAATTTGATTACGAACAGTAAAAATATTACTGTCGGAGCCATTGTATCCAATGGATTATTCCACACTGAAGTAAATCTTTAATACATTCAAAACAAAATGATTGCGCATCGCACAGCCAACTGGAAATTACAATTTGATTTAAAAATGATTCAAGTGATGATTACTTGTATTCTGTCAGACGTTCATAATGGCGTCTGACTCTCCATGCAGAAACACTGTATCCAATTATATTTCTTCTTCAACAGAGACGAAGTTTGTTGATATTCCGTATCATTTAATTATTCTATTATTCTGCCATAACGATTATTAATTATAACCAAGTCGACTGCAG